CACAATTTTCGCCATCTTCTTGGCTGTTGTGATCTTAGCTTGCTTCCACCGAAAGACCTGAGTCAGGTTGTCACATTTCTCGCACCTTATTTCCTTCAGCCTTGGCTTCGGTATACATGGTTGAAAGTTATAAGTACAGAGACAATGATACAAGAAAGGCGCATTCATATGATTTGTCATCGGACTTGTATCCCTTCTCTACCAACATACTACATGCCAATCAATGCAACCTGTCGTACACAGAGAGCATGAACTGCATGGTAGTACAGTCATCCGGCCAACAGCAATACAAAGGTGCATCGCTCTTTCATCTCTCCTTTCCATTTGTGCTTGTCCGCTAATTTGTGGAGTCGCTGTAGGGTATCGTGAAATACGAAGCGAGGAATAGAGGTGCGTGACGCGTTTCTGGTGATTCGGCGTCTACACCTGGCGGACCCTCCCCTTATTGCTCAGAGCCTCTTTATCGACCGCCATGCAGTGTTGAAACCGGTGACCGAAATCTTTCAGCCAGCTGGCCGGGCTCTTGGACTGCGAAGACTGCTGTTAGACGGTATGGGCGGCATCGGCAAGATACAGCTCACGCTTGCCTATATTCAGCAGCACTACAGCTCCTACAAATCGATCACCTGGCTAAATGCCGCTTCGGAGAGGTTACTTTGAAGGCCAGTTTTCGGTCGATTGCAACACGTCTCTTGACAATCTCGGAATACGAACAATACAAGGACCAACAAATCGTGTTACTGTAATCTTTCTTCCACGAACCATAGTAACTGCGCAATTGACTGTTCGACGTGGCGGCCTGCGCTTCAAGTCACGGTCCTTCCTATGTTCCGGAGACCTTCTTCACTCCTTGATCGATGCAAGAAGAAAAGGGTTGCTAACAACCATGTACTGCGGTTGTCAAGAAAGCCACGCCTGTAAAGATCGCCAGGGGAAGGCTCGCCAAGGCAAAAAAAGAAAACAAAGCACGACTCACCGCGTCCTATTTGATGCGTGCCAAGTCCGCTATCTCTCCAAGCACATAACTTACCACGCGTTTCAGCTGCCGATGTGGCACTCAAACTACTCATCCCTAAGTCTGGCATTACCCATCCAAGATGGCTCATTTTCTCAGCCTGACACAAGGCGTTCTTAACCCCTATTGTCCACCTCGTGCGGAATTCGAAACACTCCCGTTTTGGTGCCTCCCAAGGAGATGCGTATGTAATGCTAGCGTTGAAGAACATCTGGGGTGCCCTTCACGTGGAGTGGAACTCTCCACACTGCGCAGCCAAAACTTTGGTATTATCGAGTCCTTCATGACATGACTCTATCTAACCACCCATTCATTAGCAATATGCCGCGTCTTCAGCCGAAACTGGAAGCATCAGATACCTCTTTGAAGCTGTGTTGAATACATACTAAGTTTAGTAACAACGCTCAGCCTGTCTTGTCGGGCCATATGAGCGTGCCATGCAGGGCTGCTCCTTTTGTTAGCTTCTGGGACAGCATGTTGAGCAGAAATGGTTGCTTCCGCCAAGCTTAATGTTGTGCCGTTCTGTTTCAGATCTGTTCTTCGTTTGCGCTCTTCATCGCTTGATTTAATGAGACCGCTGTCAATCTCTTAAGCGACGCTTGCTTTTAGGGCGCGGGTTTTTACAAGCTAAAGTCATGCTCGAGAAGAAATCCTGGTACCTCTACTTACTGTACCCTATTCGCATGCCTGTGCAGCCGTCCCTGCTACGCAACAGAGCACCACTGCAAAGGCCAACTCTCCTACGCTTTCTAAAAACAATCAGGATGCCGCCAAGTTAGTTCATGCATGGGTCGAAGGTTCATGGTTACTCAGTCTAGTCTGCACACTTGCCTGGCCACGTTCATCTGGATTCTCCCAAGCCACTCTATCGGTGGTTCGGTCCCCTCGGATGAGCTTATATATATCTGCCATCGTGATCACTGCTTGAAGCCGAGACAAAGCTCCTCAACTTATTGTCACAACCTGGTATCGCTTTCGAAGACTGGACATGGAGGTCACTGTTGGTTACGTGTCCGGTCTCATCGCAGCCTCAATATTTGTGCTTCAAACCCTGCTCCCAAACGTCCTCGTCGTCGTGGTTGTGGGGCTACTGACTAAGGAACAATCTGCAGTGACCTGGAGTGTGGTGGAGCGAAATTTGTTGAGCTCGCTATGGCCGGTCATCCTTAACGCCGATTCAGCTGTCAGTGACAAAGTTGAGTGGTCTGTTCGGCTTCTGACCTGGACGAGACCCTTCGGTTTAGGCCTCATTGCTATTTCTGCGGTAGTTACACCACTAGGTCTTTACGAGGAAGTGGCCCAGACCAGCAACCCTATCCCGCTACAATGACATATCTACCCGATACAGGACCTTTTGGAATTGGAACCTTACCTCGAGTCCATGCCGGTTTCAGCAGGCTTTGCGGAGGCTTCCAGCCACTTCAGTGTCCCGGGACAACGGTCGTAATAGAGTATGACGAGGAGTACGACCCCATCGACAATGTCACTCTACTCAGCAACGGGACTATCCCCAGTGGCGAGTCCTACGACACAAGGATCCCAGAGACCCTTGGAGAGTTGTACCAGAGTGGGCTCGCGCTACAGCCACGTAGTGTCTCCAGCTTCTTCGACATTGAGACCCGGCAGTTCACCTTTCGGAAACAGTTGAATTTTGGCATCGACACGCCGTACACAGTTGATTTCTTCCAATACCTGAAGTCGGTCTATCTGGACAACGCTTTGCAGCCAGTGGAGGGTCTTGTCATCGACACTATCTCCGGCGGCGTGGGTTTTCGCCACCACACTGCGCCGGTGATCTCTGGTACTGCCGCCGAGTGGTCTGAAGACATCCTCTTCATTGAACCTGAAATTGTCTGCGTCGCCTCAAACCTCTCGTATGAATTTCAACTGCCTTGGGAGTCAGATGTCCTTGGCGCGCAAGTGACGAATTTATCCATCGTCGACGAGGGAGGTTTTGTCGATATTGTGCCTGAGTATCCTTTTCTGGACTTGAACGAGACTCAGGAAAATCCGCAATTGTGGAATCGAGCTTATAAAGCGGCTTGGATGACCAACGCCTACGCAATGGTATACATGAACATTACAAGGCCCAACCCAGGTGCCTTTGTGTACATAAGCTCAAAGGTCGGCCAACGATGGCCCTTAATAGAAGACCAAGCAATAGGAGTTTCGCCGTATTCAGCCAATTTTCAACTTTATCATGGTATGGTCCAACCGCCAACGTACATATCGAACTACACCTTCGCCGAGCACCCTGAGGCCAATTATCCAAATCCATTTGGCATCAGCATATCGAACTACAGCGCAATTAACATTATCTGCAGTGGCGCAGGAGGGCAAGATACCGCAAACACGACTCGACCAAGAGTGGAATGTGGACTGGTGTTGGGGCCAGCAAGACGCACAGATGGAGACGAAAGCCTAGCGTTTGTTCCTGGTACCTGGTGGAGGCAGCCGATCTACAGTTGTGCAGGCGCTTCGAAAGCCACCGTCAAATCTGTCCAGTTTCTGTACAACGTGACTGTGGAGAATCAAGACACTCTGGAAGCGTTGTCAGTACAGACAATTCAGGACAAAGAGTACGAAGACGCAAGGCATATGCCAATTTGGGGAGTCGAAACCGTTGACGTCAGCAATGCCGACATTACACAACTTTGGGGCTTGATCTCCCCCACAGAACAGAAGTCAGTAAATTTGACAACCGTTCAATCAGCACGGCTATACCTCCCTGGCCACATGGGATCTCTCAAGTCCCAGAGGCAGGGATTCGAATATCTGCCCGGAACTAGTGGACCTGTCAATATTTTGGATTCACTGTTCACTTCATTGACCGCAGATGACGGCACACAAGACTACAGCGGAGCAACCAATGTGGCAACACTTTCGAGATGGAGGGAGGCGTCAAAAACGACAGCAGGTGTCAGCAAGATGCTGAGTCTTATCTGGACTGATAAAGCAGCAAACCTGCTAACAGGAACGCGTGGCTGGAATACGCAGACACTGACACCTGACAACTTGCTGCCCAATCCCCGAAAGCGCAAGCGACAGTCCCAGATAGCCCAAGGCAAGGCCGAATCAAGAACGTTAGTTCGCGTTACCATATACAAGCGAAGAATCAGATATCGCTGGCGGTTTGCCATCCCGGCATTCCTGTCAATAGCTCTAGTGGGTTTGATTTCGATGGGAGCATTGATTCTATACATTCTAAGGAAGACTACATTTGCTAAAATCAACCACTATCTAAGACAATTATTGGCAGGACGGTTGCTGTGTGCTATGCAATATCCTGGCAAGGGTGATCAGAAGGCGTCAACTGAGGAGTGGCTGTCGCAAGTTGGACACAAACCAGTGCAGGTGAACGAACAGGGAGCGGCAACAAGGAGCAGCAACACGAAGTGATTCGCCACCTGCCGTAACTCTTGTCAGCCTTCCCGCCAAAGATAGGGTACAGCTCCGACACAGCAGACCGCAAACCTTCGTAACGGGAGAACCCGAATTGAGGTGGGAGGCTGAGCTTCACACGATTAAAACAGCTTGACGGCCTCAAATACCTGAATCACCGAGGAAATCCGTGATCTTGTGACGGCGAACCGATGTAGTGTTCACTTAACCTTGATTGTCCATGGGTGGAAAATCACGTAAAAAGGAGGTTGAACTACTGGTCGAGTCTTGCAGTGAGCTCCCACGTCGTCGCCACAGC